ATGTTTAGACATCTCTGTGGGGCAAAAAATACATTTATGGCTGCTGAGACCCAGTGTTCACCTCAAGAACAACCTCAAACTGGTTTTGGTCGGGAGGAAAAGGAAGTTGGAAGAAGACAAGGCAATGTGAGAAGTCCAAGGGCATCATAAACATGCTAAACCAAAGGCAATGCTGTCAGCTTTTCTCCCCTTGGACTCCTCATTCCCAGGAAGACAATACCATATTCCCAGGGCTTGACATTCCTGGGTGGCAATCATCAGCTCACCCAAAAATGGAGCCCCTCCAAAGCCTGCACTTGCCACAGCTGCCCTCTTGTCATCTGCACAGGGAAGGCAACAGGTGCTCCTATGTGCCATGTGCCAGCTGTGTTCAAGTGGGACACAGGGAAGGGCAGAGAGCCACGCTCAGCCCTAGGTGACTGTGTACACAGGTACTACAGCCAGCAGAGGTGACCCTCAGGACCACCTATTCTTCTCAGTCATCCCCACACTCAGCACAGCCAGGTATTTTTGCCTACCCCAACTACAGCTGCTCCACTGTGATGTGGAATGTGCAAGCTCTGCACCCTTGGGATATAAGCTGAAATTAATAGGTCAAAACAGCACTGCAGTGTGTAATGCTGCTGCCTGAGGGCTGAAATCCTGGCATTTCTGGACCTTGAGAATACAAGACAGTAGCGCTCTGCCTTAGGAAAACCTCACAGCCATCACCTGCATCTTCCCATCCCTCCAAAAACAGTCCATATGAGCAAAGCAACCAGTCCTAAGCAGCCTCCCTATCCAAGGGACACTATCCAGCTGGCTTAGCACAAGGACTTAAGAGAATAAATCTGGAGGAAATCTTAAGAGTGTGTGCTGTTGTCCTCAAAGAGAATAGGACACACTATAACAGCAGAGCTTTTCTAGGGGGAACAAGTTGGCAGGACCTGGCTTCTGGGCTGCCAGGATGCTCTCACCTTCAGCAGACAATGTAACACCTGATCTTCATGCTTGTAGCATTCCTGCCAGCCTCATGTTTCAATCACAACTTGATCTTAGCAGCTGCTTTCTCTACCTCAGACACACACACACAAACACACCCCTAAGCAGCTGTAAAATTAAATTTCAGTTGGGTAGGTAGAACCTCTTGTAAAGCACTTGTGACTCGGAGAAGGAGGGAATTTCAAAAATGCAGTCTTATGCTAGAATTTGAGAGGGCTACATCCTCAGCCTTCTTGCTTTATCAGCTCTTGAGACAGCACTACTAAACATGTACCGGCACTGTTGAAGTAAAAAGCAAAACAAATAGAGAAAAACAGACACTGGGAGATGCCTGAAGCTGGCTGACATGATCTGCGTAACTGGAAAAGTCTGCTGGAGGCTCTCACCTCTCCTCTAGCCTCTGATATCCTCTCCTTATCCCTAATTTCCCCTCTCTGCTTTGCCACCCTCAGCCAGCACAAACCCCCGCTCAGGCCGGTACTGGCTGTGCCGCGCGGTCCCAGCCGAGCCTGGCAGCCACAACAGCATCTGCACATCCATCAAACCTAGTGGAGCGCTGGGAGGCGGAGGTCAGCCCAAGCAGCATATGGAGCACTGGCGTGGTGAATACCAGCCTCCCCAGGAGCTGTCTGCCACAGATGGAAAAAGCCCAGGAGCCATCATGACAAAATCTTCTGGCTGGGGGCGACACGTCCCCCCTGTCGGCTTTCCAAGCCGCTGAGCAATATTGGAAAGCTCAGCTCCTCTCCCCCCGCCCCTCGCCTGGCACTGACTCATTCCCTGCCGCTTTGGTCCCGCAGTTTGCTGGTGGGAGTTGTAGGAGGTGGGATGTGGGGATGAGGTAATTCCAAGTGCATGTGGCCACCGTGGTGGATGGAGATTAGCCACCCACTCCAGAGGCATGAGCTGGCTGTGCACAGTCTGGATGTGCCACCAAGCTCCAGGTCCGGTCTGCTGAAGCAATCACCGGGATGTTTTAACCTTGACTTTTGTGGGGGATGGGATGCACCACCATAGGACCATCCAAGGTCTTCTCCTTGGAGAAGGGCAGCCCTTTATGTGGTTCAAGGGCTTAGTCAACGTACAACCAGGAATGGAGTTAATGGCAGTGAAAACATAAGAAGGTCACCAGGAGCAATGCTCCAGCTGTGAGATCTCCCAGGCCAAGTGACACAAAGTAGTCCACAGAAAGCATGACAGTTCCCTGGCTGAAATCACCCACAAACCAAGCTAAAGTTCATAGCCCTGCAGAACTAGCCAGAGGCAGGCAAAGAGAGCCACCACGGTTTCTCCTGCTCTGATTTCTTGGAAGACTACAATTCCTCTCCATCTGAAACTATTCCACTGGCTGCAATTTAAAAACAAAATCAATCCAGCAAACATTGCTAAGCAACTGGCTGTCAGTGCCACATCCCATCCCATTGAAAGTATTTGCCCTCTCCATGACCTCCTGGCAAGGAGCTTGCTGCTCAGTCCTTGCCAGATTTTGTATATTCAGCTATCGCTGGAAAGTCCAGATGCTTGGCTGGATTAGCAGAGGAAACACCAGGAAACTTTCTGCAACCATCCTAATGAAAAACACGCCACAGAGAAGCTGTAAGGAGCAGCATTCCCACATCCCAGTCCCTAGGATTAGGATCAAATGTGTGGGTCTCTGAGATTACCATGGTCTGAAGGTCCATCTCAGTGCTGCCAGACATCATACAGAGGCATGAAGGATGGAGAGCCAACACACTGGAAACCTTGTCACAGAGCAGAGCACAACATCTCACTGAGAGGCTGAAGGAGAAGTTGCTCATCAATGGCAATGAGCTGAAATGATGGATAAGACCCTCTCCAAAGCCTCCTAAACCCTTGCACAAGCTGGGCAGGAGCCTTTTGACACAGTGGTGCCCCTTAGTGTGGGGTCCTCAATTGCCTCAAGTCAGCTAGAGAAGAATTCAGACCCGACTCTGTGTTCACTCTGAGCAGCTTAATCCAGCTTCTCCATTGAAACCAAGCCTCTAAACACAGCCTCCAGTAGGACACGCAGCAGGAACACTGTGGGTGTCTTTTCTCTCACAACAGCCTGGTCCACACAACCCTGCTCTCCCCTTCACAGGAGGGCATCTAGTCAATCCCATGCTGCATTCTCTTTATACGTTCTTGCACAGCCACCAGCAACTTCTCCCTGCTCCAAGAGCAGGCCATGCTTATCCATGCTTTCCCACACATTTCTGCTGCACAATTCCAGACCAGCTTCCAGGTTGCATGGCAGGGCCTGACCACCACCTGCAGCAGCTCCCAGGACAACTGTGCTCTAAGTAAGGATTATTTTTCCAGAGAGGTCTTAGCTCTGCACTTTTATCTCTCCCTCAACCGCCAGTCCTCGATCCTTCTCCCTCCTCCATTCTCTCCATCAGCACCTGCCTCCCCCAGATCTGCCAGCAGCTTCATTTCCTCCGTGGCTACTCTAATGCTTGGCTAATGGTGCATCATCCGCAGCATTCCTCAGGCATATTCAATAAATCAGAATCCAATTACCGGGTTAAGGAAATTGGAAACAAATTAAATTAGCCCCAGCCCCTCCCACGTGTTGTGCCCTCACTTCCTCCTTAATGAGAACTCTTCTTTCACAGGAGCACTCGGTGCCACATCTGCCCGCCCAGGAACAAGGTGGCTGCCACCGCACAGTGAGGGTAGGCAAGGGGCAACCGAGCCAATCTTCCCTTTTAATAGGGCAGATGGTTCATATCCCTGGCATTAATTCTCTCCAGGAATAGCACATTCGCTCTCTGCTCAGCTATAACAGGCGTCCGTCAGGGCTGACAGCTCCTCTCCGGAGAAAGGAGCATCTGGTCCTTACAACAAAAAGAAGCTAAATAAATAAATAAGCACATGGCTTGCTACAGGGCTGGGGAACTGGTGCTGTTTCAGCATTTCAGCCTAAGTGCTGCATTTGAACTGGAATAGGGGAAGTTCAGAGTTGGGTCAGATGCCAGGAGTGGAGTCGCTCTGATCTGGAAGCAAGGTGCAGCACGGGCAGCAGGGTGCCATGGCTGGGTCCAGCACAGAGCTCCCACCAGAGCAGGACTTCCCCAGAAGGGCTCCCAGGACAAGGAAGTAGAGACAGCTGCTGCCAGCAAGCTGGGACATAATGCCAGGCACAGCTCCATGGAAAGATCTTGCACCAGCTGTGGACTGGTGACTGACAGCAGGAGCCAGGCGTACTCTGTGTCCTCAGATGCCAAGGAGGAAAACTGCATTGAGGGGACTTTGGGAGCTTTTCCTTCCCCACTGGGACATCCTCGCATCACTCCATCCAGCAAACTAACAACCCCACCGACCTTCAGGGAGGACAGCTCTTCCCCAGTGAGTTTGGAAAGACAACCAGAGGGAGACTACAGCTGAGACCTCAGCAAGCATTAAAACTCCCACCCCACCCCTCTCACACTGACAGCGGAGTGCAGCTCCATCTACAAGGCAACTGTTGCTGCAAGTCAAGTTGCCTTTCCCAACAGCTCCTTTGGGCACCAAAGGGTATTTCTGACCTTCAGTGGTGCTGGAGCGGCTAGCAACCAAACAAGCTCGTACCCTTCTCTCCTCCTCACTCAGCAATTACCCCTTATTCCCCACTTCTCTCTCTGCAGAGCAATTTCAACACTCAACAGTTATTTTATCCCCCTTGCATCACCTCATTGCATCTGCAGAGCAAGAGTTCCCAGCACCAGTAAAGACTGCCCATCAGTGACACTTGCTCTTGCAAACCCATTACTTTTCTGAGGGGAAAATAAAGGCCTTTCCTTCCTTTCCCTATAGTTCTGGAATAATTTATACAGTTTCAATTAACAGGTTTAAGACTTCTGGACATGCCAAGAAATCAAGCAAAGACTCCATTCCAGAAACACAACCCAGGCAGACCCAATCCCAAGAGCACCCAGTGGCAGCCCAAAACCACAGCCCTGAAGGGGAACAGGACCACGCCCCCATGCCATGAAGTTTGGTGAAGGAGACCGGGAGGAGCCATGGGGAGGCAGAACCTGTGATGGCGGGTGTCGCGGACAGCGCGGTCACTGGGGATCCTCTCGCTCTCCCGCTGGTTAAAGGCATGCAGCCGGTACGGGTCCTCGCCGCCCTTCCACCTCCGGGCACTCAGGTACCTCCGCTCTTCAAACTGATCCCAAAGGTCGTCCCAGTCCACGTCCGGTTCCTGCGCGCACAAAGTCAGCCCCGTTAGAGACAGCAGAGACTGGAGGACGCCTGATCTCGCTCCAGAGGTGCTCCCGAGCCCGCCGGAGGTCGGTCAGCCCTGCAATGTGGGCAAGTGCTGCAAGAGCAGGCTAACCAGGAGTCCCGGTAAGGTCTTCAGAGTTTATTCTTTGTCCTCATGTCCTGAAACAATATGTCAAAGAGAGCTTCCAATTTGAATAAAAATGACTAATTTGAACCCAAATTCAGGTCTTTGGTGGATGTCCCTCTCAAGCAGCACTATCTCAAGAAAACATACAAACATTTTGTAAGAGTTTTCATTTTTCTGCAGGCAAAAAACAAAGCTATTTTACATCACATGACCCATTGCCCCCATAACCCTTCAGGTAGGAAAGGAGTAATCCTGCATTTCCACAGCCACATCCTAGCCCCAGCTCCAGCAACAGGGCCCTGGAAGAAGGGGGCCATCATGCTCCCAACCCAATTTCAGTCCATCTTTGCCACCACATGTCTCCCACTGAGGATTTCAGCCCTACCACAGGGAGAACATCAGGAAAGCACGTGTCTGTGTGGTCCTCCTCACTCCAGAAGGATGGAAAAGCTGCATTTTGGGGTTACCCAGGAGCTGCAACAACTTTGGGGGAGTTTAAGCATTTCTTGATGGTTCGGTGCTGTCTGAGTTGAAGCATCCCTGAGCAACAGAAGCTGTCGGGGGTTCAAGCATCCTCTGGCAGCATCTGAGGCAGCCAGCACAAAACAGAGCCGATAAGATCTCATCGCTACAGCAGCACAACCTCTTTGATCTCAGCCTACCTGTAACACTGAGAGATGCAAACATTTACAGACATCTCAGCCCTAAAGAAAATTGTGATCTTATCCAATAATTGATCTTTTCTTCTGCTTTTCTTTTTTTTTTTCCCCTCCTCAGTTCACACCATCTCAAAGCTGATTTTGCCTGCTAATAGTGCAAAATGAAGCTTTTGAAAAGGGCGATTTTTATCCCATAATTGATTTTACTCGCATCTGGCAGTGCATTTTTTTGTGGTCACAGGAAGGGGAGGAGGGAGCACTGGCTCCTGCAAGTGAACCATCACAGAAGCAAGCCAGGCACCTCCAGCTATAGGATGCCTCACATTTCTCTGGGTTACAGTGACATGAGCACTCCCAAGAGCCAAGAAATTCCAGGGATGCAGGGCATTCCAGATACAGGGTTGTATCCATCCTCCCCGGTCCTGACCCCATGGCCTACCCAGAACCTCCTCCAGCACCGACCCCAGTGCAAGAAGATCAGAAGAAACCCCTGAGTCACCAGCCATACTGAGAGGAAGTTATTCAGGACTGGAATAAAGTTATTCAAGGCTGGGAGAAAGTTATGAAACCAGTAAGGTCCCTGCAGGAGTTTTACGAGGAGGACGCACATAACCCAGCCACGGAATTTCAGGAGGGCCGACGTGCACAGGGTGATAAATGCTGTTTATGTTGGGTTTTTTCTAAGGCATCTTGCAAAACATGATTTAGCACCGCAGTAAAAGATCAGGGAAAAGTGAGGCGATTGCATCGCGGAGCCAGCGACAGCCTGATGTTTATAAGATTTCACGATGACCCCAGGAGGCCTGGTGCTGCTGAAACAACCACCAGAACTGCAGTCCCTAAATTTTAATGCTGTGAAGAAAAATAAAAGTTGGTTTTATCAAACTTAATAAGAGAGATGGCTTTCAAAAGTGGCCACACAACACTTAAGGCTGTAAGGTGTGTGTGTGTATATATGTTGTTTTGGTTTTTGTGATGTCAGTTGGATGTCAGCCTTGGATCAGCTAGAAGGGTGCAGCTGGGCAAGAATCTGATGGCTCAGGTGGGAGGGCTGGTGGATTTCCCCAAGAAATCTGGAGCTTCTGTACCTGCTACAAGGGCAGCAATGCTCTGGCCAGGCAGCAGAAGCAAGGTTTGGCATATGGCAGGGTCCTCCAGGGTCTGGGATGGCATTTTCCCAGCATCCATCTAATTCCAGTAATGTGCTGTTATCAGGGGTGGGGTCCCAGCAGTAAATGGACAATTACCTTACCCCACAGCATTCACCTCTCATCCTGCTCTGGATATACCTTGCATTCCAGGGTTGCATTCCTGGTTTACTCTGCAGTGACTAATTAATATTCCTGTGCAATCTCCACCTGAGAGACACCAGCCCACCTTGATTCACCCAGGTTCTCCTTTTTGGGCTGAGGAAAGCTATCAGTGGGATGGGTACTAAATATTGGGTAATTAAGTAAACACCTGAGATTTACAGTAACTAGATGCCAGAGATTAAAGAGTTATTTTAATCCCTATCTGGCCACAAAACAAGACCAGGGATTGGGTTCACTTTCTCAGCCAGAGGTAGATACTGGGGGTTGGTCATTTGTTTTTGATCTACATCACCCACCCAAATCTTCTGGGTGTTCTTTCCATCCCAAGCCTCCCTAAAAGGGTAACTGAAATTGGAGCAGAATGCTCAGCTCAGACACAGGTGCACAGTGACCTCTGCAAAACACAGCTGCTCAAAGCAGGAGAGGAAGGCATGAAAAGCTCCCAGCTGTGCAAGCAGCAGGAGACAGGAGACCTCACCAACCTGCACACAGGGACTCACCTGTTTCTCACCTGCACCTGATCCGAGACAGTCAATGAGAGATAAAGCATCAGGAGAAATCCCTGTGCTCACCCAGGGAGAGCACATTGGTTACAGGTTACCAGATAAGGTCTTCATTCTAATATTTCCACAATGTATTATCACCTCTTCCTCACACCAGAATTCTGTCTTGGGAGTTATTTAACTGATGTGCAGAAATCTAAATTTAATTTATTATGATCTAACTCACTTTAGAGGCCAAATTACCCTGCACTAGAAAGGGATCAAGTCAATACTCCACTTGCCTTTCTATTTATCTTCTACAGGGCTCATCTCTTCAAGTTTGCTATACATTTTCTCTCACGTACTAGTAATAAATTTTCTTTTTTTTTTTGGAATTAGGTAATTTCTCTTTCAACACAGCAGTTTAATGACTGGTAATAATTATAGGAAACACAGTCAACGCTTAAAAGAGTTAGAGCCACTCAATGAACAGAAGGAAAGAAAAGAAAAATATAACCAAGTGGTGGCTGTCTGCTCTTGGCAAGCAAGTGCTGCCTCTTCCAACACCACACAGGGGAGTACACAGGGGTGGTCAAGGAGAGGGACACCCACAAAAAGAAAGGGACAAAACTTATTGTGGAGAGAAGCTTCCATCTCACACCAGCACTCAGCCAAGCGCAGGCTTCACCAAGAGCTTTCTCTGCCATTTCAGTAAAGCACCCCCCAAAATATGACCCACTAAAGGCACCTCCTCCAAAACCACCCATCACCCTCGTTGGCTTAGGGCACACAGCCCAGAGCAGGCACAGAGGCAGCTTTTCACTGTAACTGTACATTAAAGATTAAAAGCCTCTCAGTGCAAAGATGTAATTTGTCATCTGCCTCTTAAATCACAGCTCAGAAACAAAACAAGACAAAAAAATACCAAAGAAACTAAGAAGGGAAAAAAATAATATTTAAGAAAAAACCAAGTGGTGCTGCGGGGGGAAAATGGGTCATTAGCAGTAAAACTACAATTTCCTGGCAACTGCTAATGCCTTGTTTATGTGGATTTCTGTGAATGTGACATTTTAACGGCATAATAATTGTGTGATTACAGTACAGCAGGGATTGCTGGAGCGGGAAGGAGGAAGAAGCAGCCCAGCCGGCTGCGGCTGCTGCGGGCCTGCGGCGTCCCCGGCAGGGCATGGGAGGCCAGGCCAGGCTGGACGCTGGGCAGGGAACGGGCAGCTGTGGCAGCACTTTGGCCACCCAGAGGCAGCCCAGCACTGAAAGGGCACGTCAGGTGAAAAGCCTCCAAGAGGAGCCAGCAATGACTGGGGACAGGCAGGTCACACCACCCTCAGGGCCAGCCTCCAGCTGCCCAGCAAGACCAGGAGTGGGCAGTGTGAGCCAAAGGGAGATTCTGATTCACTTTCTTCTTTTGTGGCACTGTTTTAACATAAAGAACTTAATAAGCCTTTGCTAAAATAAGAGTCATTTTCCTTTTGGGGCTGCTGGGTTCTGCCTTCAGACCAGAGTGAATTGGACCAGTGCCATGAGCATCCTTTCAAGAGGCAGCAAACCCAAGCCAGCCCAGAGGGCTGGCAGAGTTGACAGGGTTTTCCAGGGAACCCATTTGGCCAGAAAAAAAGGTTTTGCCTGTGCAGGTACAAAGATGACCCCAAAGGAGTCTGGCAAAAGCCAAATGTTGATTCCCCTCAAACCTAGCTTTCCCTGAAAAATCTCATCCCTACGTAACACCTGACTGAGCACTTGCCACTGAGCCCATTCCCTGGGACTCAGGCATTAAAAAACAGGAGGGGAGGGAGAAATTAAAAATTCCATCAGCCTATCACAAGGTCCAATGAACACGTGAAAACTCTGGAAACTCAGATGCTAGGCAGCACGCTGCTGCCTGGTCACGCTGTGTCACTCCTCTGCCAGCGAGGACATCCTTGTGCTCAGCAGGCTCAGGGGCACTGGAGGCAGAGGGCAATCTTTCAGCAGGAATTGCAACCAGGCATTATACAAATGAGATTTAGAAGTCTCACTGAAGCGCAGGGCCCCTGCAAACAGGAGGTTCAATTATAGAGCTGCTGCTGGCCCAGGCATTAATGCCATCTGAAAGGATTATAATACTTCAAACAGGATAGGGCTCATCCCTCCTTGTCCCCCGGTGCCAGCATATGCACTTAAGAGGGTCAGCAGCATCAGAGGGAAAAGAAGTGGGACAGTGTCAGACTGCCTTCATCCACATCCTTGAATAACCCAGATGGAGCAGTGAGGCACAAGATCCTGCAATCAAGTTTTGGTGTAGTTTTCTCAACCCCAGAGCCCAGTGCCTCGGATTAGCCCTGAGCGAGCAGTGCTGTGCATCCTGATGGCCTAGGATACAAGGGGGAGACAGGCAGCAC